ACCGACCTTGTGAAAATGGTTCTGGAATGGTCGGCGAGGCGGCGCGCGACCACAACGCGTCGGCAAGGATGCGCACGGGGCCTTAACGCGTGCCAGACTTGTTGCGGCATCAGCATACGATTTACACCACAGGGACTTTCAATGAAAAGCCGCACGGGGACAACGAACAGCGCGCGGCGCGAAGGGCGCGCTGAAATTGCCTCGGCGCGGCTACAAACCGAAAGCCCACCGCGCAAGAAGGAAGGGGATGGGCGATGAGGAAACGAAGCGGGGAGGAACAATATCAGGAGGAGGACGAGGAGAGGGGGGGAGAGCGAGGAGAAAGGATATGGCGCGAAGCGCCGCGAATTCAAAGCGAGGGCCGAAAATGCTGGAGGGCAGGGAACACAAGCAAAAACACATCGAAGGCAACCCGCGGCAAGCGCGCGCGCCAGGCAAACCAGCGGGGCGCCAGGCACGCGAGGCGCAGTGGCCACGCCGGGCAGATTGCACGCGCAAAACGACAATCACAAAAATACAAGCCGCGCCAAGCACATAGCGGGATCACCCGCCAACGCGCCCGCGCGATGCTCGCACCGCCTCGCGCTGCAAGGGATCCCCGATCAGCGCCGAACCATCGCGAGGCCTCCAAAGGCACACCGCACTCAATGTTTAAATGGACAGCAGTGTTTGTTCGGAACGGGACCAGGCCCTGAGGGGCGAGCGCGGACCTGCAATTCCCTGTCTGGCGACGCCGGCAATGAGAGCCGCCAAGCTCGCGCGCGCTATAACCATCGACGGAATCACCAGCCTCAAGGGCTGCGGACGCGCTGGCATACGTCGGTTCATCTCGCTTCTGCCCGCGCCCAACAAGGAACTCAACGCGCGCCCGTCCATGGGCTGCCGCGGACCGCAGCCCTCGACACTCTCCAGAGGCGCGGCGGGTTCGGTCCCGATTGGCTGGTAAGCATTGAACAGCGGGGACCGTGCGAGTCCTGACATGGAAGAGGAGCTCCTGCAACTGGAAGTCATGGGCGAGCTGAAATCCGCATTCCTCGTCAACATTGGCCAGGCAAGGCTGTTCTGGGGACCGCATGCGCGGACAGCCACCCAAGCTGCCGCCGCCTCGTGCGGAAACGCCATCCCTGGCCGGGCCCAGCCGTCGCGACGCCCCCCGGACGCTTCGGCCTGGGCGGAGGTCTTGGACACGTGCCTCCACGCGAAGATCCACTGGCATGGACCGAATGTCGTGGGAACTGGAAGTCGGGCCTTGGGGGCGCGGCTGGCTTGGTCATGGGCCGCCACCCCGACGGCGAGTCGCCTGGCCGCGCCCCTTACCTTCTGTTGAACGCGAGCGAAATCGACGCCCGCCTCATCTTGCTCAGCGGGGGGTCTCGTGAGTTCTTGCCGAGGGGCCCAACATAATTCCCAGGAGACCAACTGGAGAGGAGATGACCCGCCACTATGTCAAACACATGTTTTTTTGTATGCGGTGATTTCCGACGCCAGAGCATCGAGCTCGTCCGGCGCGGCAGGGGGGTGGCTGAGCCCGACTGAATTTCCATCTGCAGTCGTTCCTTCAACACCCAACCCCCGTCTCTCACCTGGTCTGGTCTGCCAAGGATGAGTCCGCATGGCGCATGAAGTGCAGGATGCCCTATCTCTCCACGCTTCTGGCGAACCTCCCCAACCCTCTGACATTCTGTCCGAGAGCAGGAAGTGTGGGGGGGCCCCAACGGGCGAAATCAGTTTTTCATGCGTCAGCATAGGGGTTGAATGAGCTCACGTGGTGCCAGCACTGCCAGCAGCGCTCATGACAAAAATGGTTGGCACTATACCAGTCGGAGAACATTCCGCTGCACCGGCGGACAATCCTCTAGATAACTCGCGAAGCGCTGGCGCTGCCTGGGGCTCAAGCAGCATGGCAGGCTGCACGGGAGAGGTGGGGGGTGATAGTTACATATGGCCTAGAAACGCAGCCGGCTGGCGAATCCTGGCTGGGGTCCTTCGATGCTTGCGGCCTAGCTGCATATACCATTGCTGTGCGCACGTGCGTGGCCGCGAGTGGCGGCGAACTAGAACGAATGAGACGGATGAGTCTGGAAAGGCCATGGGAGAGGGGTCTGTGCAACTGTGGCGCGGGCAGCTCATGGCGTTGTGGCGTGTCATCGTTCATGGCGCCATCGCCTCACTCAAGCCACGTCGACAGCTTCTCTTCGAATCATCCCGCAGTCATGACGCCTGTGTGGATATGCGCCTTGCCCTCGCACCGCAAGGATGTGGGGTCGGCTGCGCGCAACTCCCACCGCCTCATGGCGAACAATATATTGGTGTTCCTGGGATCGTGGCACTTCTCGCGCAACACGAAGGCCACCGCGTCCTTGATGTCCGACTTCGAGATCTGGGTGTCCACCAGCGGATAGAAGGCGGCCCTTGCGAGCCATGCGTGGAGCGTCGGCTTGTTGGCGCCGCCTATGTCGCACTGCAACTGCAGGAGCGCGTCCACCGTGGATGAGCGATGCAAGCAACGAACCGAAATATTTGAGCTCCTTCCTTTTGGGTACCGTCGCTGTTGTGCATTCCCTCCGCCTGACTCTTGAAAATGTCGAGGTCGTCGGACAACGCCACGACGAGCGAAGTATCGTGGGGGCCGTGGCCGTGTCGACCACCTGCGAACGCCATCCTGGATCTGTGGTTCGACTGCATAAGTCGTTTGCGCATTACCGCCAACCTCTGCTGCAAATTCGGGTCCTTGCTGGTCCGTTTCTTCTTGGTGTGTTGGCCTCGGTGGCGGCGTTCGCCGCCACGCCAACGGCACAGCGGTTGGCCACCCTCCTCGGCCTGCTCCGCGGCCTCGGCGACCGGTGGGCCCTTCTCCCTCATCCTGGTTGGTGGCGCCCCTTCCTTGTCGCGCATGTTGCTCGAGGTTGCGGCGCCGCGGCCGATGGGCCTGCAACCGTCGCGGGGTGCTGGTGCGGAGCACCTGCGTCTTCATCTGCACATCGTCTCCCATCGTCGCCGCCATCGTTGGGATCCTCGGGCGGGCTGGTGCTCCAGGTCGGGGTCACCGTGACGCCTTGTCCTGGGCGGTGCGGCGCAGCGGCCGCTGGCGATGGCAGCGGTAGCCTTAAGCCGGGCCTGCCCCCTTACAGGGGAAAAAATTCAAAATAGTCAAGGAGTGCCCCAAAATGATCAAACAATATTTCAAAAATAGTCCCCAAACTATTTTTTGCCTATGTTCGAATATTCCTCCTGTAGGGGGACGGGCCCGATTTAACGGTAGCCCAGGAGGTCCAGGAGGAGGGTGCCCTGGTTCGGAAGTGTTTTTTTTAAGCTCAACGCTCCGCTGTCGCAGAATTCGAGCACTGGGGGCAGGGCCCAGTGCAACGCAGAGCCCTGGCGGCCCTGCAGGCCTCAGGAGAGAACAGCTACAGTGCAACACGCCGATCCCCGCGACGAGCCCAAGCCTACGCGGAACTATACAACGGGGGTGCCGCGACCACCCCCGACCCCGCCCAGCTCCAGGAAGAGGCACCCCAGGAACAGGACGAGCGCCGCGGTGTTGGTCAGCGGCGGGTGCACCCTGCGGCAGCTTGGGCCAGGGGCACCTCTGGCAACCCCCGAAGTGGGAGGGGGGAAGACGGGACCAGCCTCGAACTTCTCCCTAATTATCATAAAGATTGGCAAGCCCAAAGCGATGACAAACTTAGAGAGAGAGAGAAAGAGAGAAAGAGAGAGAGAGAGGGAGAGAGAGAGCGTGATCCACCGCCGCTTCGCTGTAGAAAACTCCCCCCCACCACACTTCCTCCGGAGCCCGGGGGTCACCCATCCCTCCGAAAATCCCCTGCGCTCAAACCTCTTCCCCCCTCCCCCCCCCTCCCCCGGCAAGAAAGCCCCCGCCCTCCCCATCCCCCCCCACCCCCTCTCCCGGAAAACCGAAGGGGGTCACTACCGGTTCGAGCCCCCCCCCACCCCCACTCGCCAACGGCAAACGACTCCTGAGTCCCCACCACCGGACTCGCCAGCGCCCTCACCAGTCCCCACCACCACCGTCCCCACATCTGTCCCACTGTCCCACTGTCCCCACTGCTCCCAGCACTGTCCCCACTGTCCCCAACAGTGCCCCCACCAGTGCCCCAACCACCGTCGCGCTGTCCTCACTGTGCACACAACTGTCCCCACTGTCTCCTCACCACCGTCCCCACCACCACCGTCCCCACCACTGTCACACTGTCCCCACTGTCTCAGCAACTGTCCCCACCACTGTCCCACTGTCCCCACTGTTGCCACCACTGTCCCCACTGTCCCCACCAGTGCCCCCACCACTGTCCCCACTGTCCACACCACTGTCCCCACCACGGTCCCATCTCCCCACTGTCCCCACCACGGTGCCACTGTCCCCACTCCCCACCACTATTCCACCACCGTCCCAACCACAATCCCCACCACAGTCCCCCATCCGGAGTGGGGGAGGAGGGGGAGTCGTTTGCAGGCGGCGAGGGGGGGAGGGTCGAACAGGTAATACCCCCCCTTTTTTTCATGATGGACCGGGTGGTGGTGGCATGGAACCCACAATGACCCAGCCCTGTTTTCGAGGGGGGGGAACGGGTTTGAAACCACCGGTGACCCCCCCCCCCCCGATTTCTGCCAGCAGCGGCAAAACACGCTCTTTTCAATCTTATGGATGTGTCCTCAGAAACCGAGGAAAACCATGACATCGGCACCGAGGTAAGACGATGTCAAGCACGAGGCAGTGAGATGCTTCGAGCTGGTAATGAGTGGATGGGGGTGGAAGGAGCAAGGGGGACAAGTGGATGGTGGGGGATGCGGTAAAATGGATACGGGCATCGTGAACTGAAGTTGGATGCTCGTTCTGGGGACCTTCCTGGAGCCACTCGCTCCACTCGTGCGTCGAAGCTGCGTCGAACGTCAGTCGATTTGGGTCGACCCTGAGTCGAACCTGAGTCGAACCTGAGTCGAATTTGAGTCGAACTTGAGTCGAACTTGAGTCGAACTGGGGTCGAACAGATCCGTTAGGTGGGCTCCAGGAAGGTCACCGAAACGAGCATCGAACTGAAGGGCGGGCGGCGCGAACGAACGACTTCTCATACCAAAACGGAGCGGCTGCATAACATAATGAATGACCGAAGCACTTTTGCAGGCGCGCCTCGCTCCTGCCGTGCGCCGCTAGATTTGCAGCAGGCACGGCGAATTCATTGTCCGACTCGTTTGTGGCGCGCCGAGGGAAACGCCCGACTTCGGAGCGAGGGTGATGGGATGGACCCTGCTCCTCCTCCTCCTCCTCCTCCTCCTCCTCCTCCTCCTCCTCCTCCTCCTCTCTCCTCCTCTCCGACGCTCTTCTGCGGCCACCACCAACAGACCGCACCTCACGGGTCCACTCGCCGCAGGGGTAATGATCAGACCCCCCCGCTGGGATTCACCTGGCTGGGTACTCTCTTCACGCTCGAACCCCAGCCGTTTTCTCAGAAACCTGATCGGCAGGGGTACGGTTCGCGTGTGGCTGCCGAGCGCTGCAAACGCCTGCGAGCACCACATCTGCGAGTCCAATCGACGGTGGGATCATCGGACACCCCCATACGGCAACTTCGTGTCATGACGACCTGGGCGTTGGCTCCCGGAACCGCGCGAGCGGGTCGTTCAACCTTGAACGATCGCGGCTCTCTGCTAGCTTAGAGGCCTCCCAAATGGGGTCCGAGTAGATGAGGTCGGAGGATCACGTCACATTGGCAATGCTCGGACCATGCACGGGCGACGTCGGCGATGCACCGGCGCCGTCGGCGTTGAGAACATCAGGCTCCTCATCGGGCCGCAACGCTGATGCACCGGCGATGCGGAGCAACCCTCCGACTCAATCTGCTCCGGCCCTATCTGGCAGACCTAGATTTAAGTCGGGTCTGTCCTCCTACAAGGGGGTTTTGGGCGAAAAATAAAAAATTGTCAAACAATAGCCCCAAATGTTCAAAAAATACACAGAAAATCGTCCCGAGACTATTTCTCATTACTTCTGAGTATTCCCCTGAGGGACTGGCCCCAGGGCGAGAGCGAGCTTTTTGATGCGCGGCCTGCTGGTCGCTGCGTGCGCTGCGTGCGTGGCGGCCTGCGTGCTTGGGCCTGGCCCCACGGCGCTGCCCCGGAAGCCGCGCACGCTGTGGAGGTCGCTCCGGCGAAGGGTCGCTCTCGAGCACGGCCAGGTGTGCACAGCCTGCCTACTGGGGGGTCTGCTGTCCCGGAGTCCCGGGGCGGTGCGGTGGCAGGCCGTGCGGTGACCTCGAGATCCCCAGGACTTCACCGCACGGTCCGTGAACGCGCGGCTTTGGGACCTCGGATGCCCCAGTCGCCCAAAGCGTCCTCGGAGAACGACCCGAATCCCAAAACCGTGCGGTGACCCCGAATCCCCACCGACTCACTGCACGGTGTGGTCACCGCCCCGTTTGGGGGCCCCCGATGCTAGCCCGGGTCAATCGGACCCGGGTCAGCAGGAAACCAAAAAACTGAAATGCAGGAACAAAAAACTGCTGCAACGCAGGGCTTCGCAAACCCGGGTCAGCCAGTCCGTCACCCAATGCCTGATGACCCCATTGCCAAACTGCGGGCCCCAGAAGCCGAAATCGATCAGCCAAACATCGGACCGACAGCAAAACCAAGACCGACAACGAAACCGACAAGCCGACCGCAACATCGAAGAGCGCAACGACGCACCAACGACACAGGGACCGACCGAACCGAACCGAACGCGACCGACTGACTCAACCGAAGCGACTGAACCGGTGGACACCCTTGGTCAGAACCCCGAATCATCAGGGGTAACTCGGGTCAGGGTTAACTCGGGTTCGTTTTTCGGGAATCCGAACCCGAGTTACCCCGGACCCGAGCTACCCCGGATAATTCGGGCATCCAGAGGCCCACATCATCAGGGGTAACTCGGGTCAGGGCTAATTCGGGTTCCTTTTTCTGGAATCCAAACCCGAGTTACCCAGAGGGCCCTCGCTCGCCGGGAATGCTTAAGCCTTAGGCATGTTTTGGGTCCCTTAGGTATGTTGACCGGGAGATCATTTCCAGTGCCTATAATACATTCCGCCGACAGAAATTATGCGTTGTGGTTTTTGTGTAGATTTGGCAATTTGGGAAAGTCAGGCAATTGTTCCGAACAGTTTTGCGGCCCCGCGGTCGGAGTGTGGTGCATGCCCGCACGGCGACAACCGCGTCATAGCGTGAGATTTTTGATATAGCGTGAGACAGCGTGAGATTTATTTTTCATCATTGCGATTGCACGGTTGCCGCGTGCCCGCGTCCCATGGCCCGCCAGGCTGGGCGCCCGCGAGTATGCGTCGCCCCGCTACCATGGAAGGAAATGCCAGGGCCCAACAATTCGGGAAGCGAGGATGAGGAGGAGGAGGAAGAGGAGAGCGAAAGAGGAGGAAGAGGAGGAGGAGGATTGAGAAAGGGGAGGGGACAACTCGAGGAGGAACATTGTGTTTGACAGTTTCTGTTTGTATAGCGCGGCATCAAGATGAACAAGCGTCGCTTGCATGCAGTTCGTTGGTTGCCACGGGAGCGGCGATCCGAACGCTGGAGTTCCGCTACCACGCGTGCCGCTATATGCATGAGGAGCGGGAAATGGGAGGTGGAGGGTCGAGACGGCGAGGGAGGTGATACCCTTTCCTCAGCGGCTGTGGCGGCGGCCGCGACGACGGTCTGATTACATGATTTTTCCTCCTCCTCCCTTCCCCCTCCTCCTCCGTCTTTTCCTGCTTTCGACGCTCCTTCCTCCTCCTCGAGCCCCCTTTCTCTCATTCGCCCATGCCTCTTCTCGAGCTGCTCTCTATTTATCCATCACGCTGACGCGAGCTTGCCGTTCCCAAATGTATCTCGCGCTGCACCCCGGCCGAAGAGCGCGCATATCTCACGCCTGCTGCCCGGCAGGACCTGCGCTATCTCACGCTATCTCGCGCTATCTTGCGCCGGGCCAACACAGAAACTCCGACATGCAACTTCAGAAACTAAATTTGAAATTTCTGGAGCTCTTTTAGGAGGCCGACAGAACACCGCTCCCTCTAACTGTTCTCACGCTATCTTACGCTATCTCACGCTATCTTGCGCCTGCCCAGAACAGAAACTCCGACGTACAATTCCAGAAACTAAATTTGAATTTTCTGAGCTCGTTAAGGAGGCCGACAGAAAACCACTCATTCCAACGGCGTTCGAGCACGCTATCTTACGCTATCTCACGCCTGCCCATTGCAAAGGAGACACTCCGACATGTACTTCCAAAAACGGATTTTTCTGTGGCTCGGAGGCCGACGGACAACCGCTCGCTGTAACGGTTCTCACATTGTATCATGCTATCTTTCGCCTGCGCACAAGAGAACCCCGACCTGTACTCTCAAATTCTGAATTCAAAATGTCTGTGGCTCTGAGGCAGACAGACGCCCGTTACGCAGTCTCACGCTGGCTCACGCGTCACTTGAAACTTGTTTCTCAGGCTGTCTCGCGCTATCTCACGCCTGCCGCACTCAAAATCTATCTCACGATGGCCGAACCGCACGCTATGCCGAAGACTATCGCACGCATCTCACGCTGAACACTCGGCGCCTCTGAAGAGAAGTCGGCAACGCTGCGAGTGTTTTAACGGCGCGCGCTGGCGAGTCACTCAATCAGTTCGAGCAACCGGGTTACGAAACCTATCTGGTATTTGTCTACACAATTGCGGACGACTGTGGAAGCATGGCGCGATCTCGCAACCTTTAGCATCTGCCCCACCATGTCTTCATCTCCAAAACAATGGAAGAAACGGGGGTTGTTCGCGTCTCCCATGCAATCCAATATAAGATGATGCATCTGGTGGAGTTTCGGAGTAAATCGCCAGAGCATGGGGTTAACCGAAGATCTCCTGAGCTCACTAAACATATACCAAAAATGTGCCCTGCCTCATCGAGTTGGCCTATCTGATCTGGCGTGAGATAGCGACCGGATTCCTTGAGAATGTGGAAGTATTTCGACAAACCCCAGACGCACGAGCTCACGTGATGTGCTTCTGTCCTCAAAGCGGGATCGCACACAGCAGCGAAATTGGCACATATATCGGCCAACCATCTCACAATGATCGGTGCCTGCGCCACCTTCGTCCGAAAATGACAAAACTTCTTATTTGAATCCCAACATATGGAAGCCAACGCGAAACGCCTGCAAGAACACGTCAGTCCCTGAAGCGAGCACCACTCCTTGAAACGCAAATACAGGTTATGAAGAATAGCTGAAGCAGTTGCTGCAGCCCCCAACGGTCCAGCGAACCCTGGCCCCAGGCTTGCATACGCTTTGTTCTTCGTCAAAAACCAGAGTGCGTTGCCCGTGACAGTCCAAGATACCCCCAAATTTACAATGTGCATACTGTCCCCACGAGTTCTCTCCAGTCGCCACCCCGGAGCCGATGTCAGAACTGTTTTGTGTTCGGCGAGCGACATGTATGCATCGTGAGTTAGTTTCGTGGTTCTCCACGCTGCAGTTGGGCTCCAATCCCAATAAGCAAATTACTGTAGCGACTTCGAAGCCCAGTCGCGGTGGCAACAAAAGTTAGGACGGCACCCCCTGCAGGAAAGCAACGCTCTCTCGCGCATCCAGGGTTGGGAGGGGGCGGCGCGCGAAAGGGGGAAGACGAAGAGAGGAATGCAGGAGGATTGGAGGAGTGGGTGAGGGAGGCGCGAGAGAGCATGGCATTCCCCGAACGCGCACAGGAGCGGGTTGCAGGTCCACCAAGTTCTCCGAGGCCCAGGGTATTTCACATCTCGTGTCCCCAGGTTTCCCGAATAATCATCCGACGCCTCCCGAATTCCAGGTGGATCGATTCGCAACACGGTAGGCAGGCCGATCCTCCTCCAACACTCCCTTCCCTCGTTCTCCCCCGAGTCATCCTTTGCTCCTCCTCCGCCTCCTCTCTTTCATGTATATGGGTTTCTTTCGGTATCTCACGCCATCTCACGCCATCGTGCTATCTTTTGCATTCTCACACTGCGCAGACGTGGGCGTGCGCCCAGTCACTATCGTTCGCCGTCTCACGCCGCCTCACGCCATCTCACAGATGCCCCATCAAACCCGCTCCCGCGCGCGCCCCACCGGGCCTCCACATGAAAGTCTCCGACGACCATTCCCAATCGCCGCGACACTCGCTAAACAGAGCAACGAAGCCGCCCGCAAGCGGGGTGCCTGCCAGGAGCTGTCTACGAGACCTTGCTTCCACGGCGCCCCTGCATGATCTGTGTGAGGGCGTGT